ATTCCCAGTACCCCAAAAACAAGTAAGTGAGAAATAAATAAATAAAGACTGAAAGTCCTTGACATTTGCAGACTGAACACATAYAGTCTGGGCGTTTTATTAGCTGCCCTCGTAGGCCCACTGTGAATGACTGAGCTGAATGATTTGCTTTGCCCAGGGCAACCATTTACTGTGCCTGGATAGCTCACGCAACTTCATTATTCTCTACTGGTTATAGCCTGTGTGTGTTATGCATTTTATGTAACTGCAGTGATTGAAATCTTTTTTCTTGTCTGGGGAGTAGAAAAAACTCATAAAATAAGTCACTTGATAGTGACAGTAGGAGAAATGAAGAGAAAGTGAAGAGACCTGGGAAAGTGACATCATCATCATCATCATCATCATCATTTTTGCCACCAATAGAAGTTTTGAGTAAAGTGGAGTGGGATATCAAGTTCAGTGATATCTAGGGTCTCGATATCAATACAGCCACTGTGTGTGTGTGTCACAGACAGAAGTGCTTTGGGGAGTTGCTCTAGTGGGCGTCAGCCAATGGAAACTGCTCTTCAAGAAAAAGCTGAAGCCTTATTACAAGATGAAGAGAGACACACTGGCTGAGTTTCTTTTTTCTTCTTTGGGAATTTAGGTGCCAAGTATTAAATATGACTAATGCTTCTCTAACAATAAATTTTTATAAGTAACTTTACTTCTATGCTTTCAGAGCATTTAGAGACTATTGAAATAGAACCAAATTTTTTTCTGACTATAATTTACAATGTAATTCTGGGAGATACTATGTAATATATAGTGAATCAGGCCAAAGGTCTTTGAAAAAAAAAAATCCCTTGCTAATGTCAAGGGTCTCCTATGGAAATCTCTTCATGGAAATCTCTTTCTGTTTTGTTTGTTTTTTAAAGATAGACAACCATTTTGAGTAAACAAGCACAGGCCCTACTCTTCCCAGTCTTTGGCCAACATATTGGCTCTGTGATTCTTTTTTTTTTTAATATTTATTTTTATTTGTTTATTTATTTATTTATTTATTTATTTTTAGTTGTTGTTGATGGACCTTTATTTTATTTGCTTATTTATGTGTGGTGCTAGGAATCAAACTCTGTGCCTCACACATATGAGGCAAGTGCTCTACTGCCGAGCTACAACTCCAGCCCCTTTTTAAAAAATATATTTATTTTTTAGTTTTAGGTTTAGGTTTACACAATATCTTTATTTTACATTATGTGGTGCTGAGGATGGAACCCAGTGCCTCATGCATGCTAGGCGAGCACTCTACCACTGAGCCCCCACCCCAGCCCCCTGGCTCTGTGATTCTTGACACATGCAGTGCTTATACCAGGCAAAGTCAGGAGGCAGGGGAGTTCTTTCCACCTTGTCTGTTCTTAAGAGAACTTGTCAACCATGAAGGGAAGGGTTTTGGTTCTTGGTGTGCGTGGCAGGGTGAGAAGATTTCACAGCAGTGCCAACCAGTTTTGATTTGCATGTGTGTGGCCCTGMAACAAAGAGCAGGCAGAGCAACTTGCTCAGATAAGAGGTGGGAGGGGCAGCCTAACATCACGCCCACGGTAAAGAGTCTTAGTAAGAAAGCACAGTTAGTAAATATCCATTTAATGAGTGACATCGTGACCAAGAGTCACCAAATAAATAATTGGATAGCTGTGGATGCTATCCAATTATATCCTGGTAAGTCGATACTGTGTGTGATCATTGCCACTTGTTTTAAGAGTCCTGTTCTATTCTCTTGGGCCTCCTATAATGCTGGTATAGTGTGCTTTCACTATACCAGCATTATATCCCACTTTGACCTAGAGAGCTCATGGAGTTCATCTGCAGGCCACACCCAAACAAGAACAAAATTAATGACCTTAGATTAGAGTTGGCTTTGTGAGATCCTAGGGAGGGAAACTTTGGACCCAGGAACAGATATCCTAGTGAGCAGGTTTCAGTGCAGGGTAAGGAGGTGCTACCTAAGAATTAGAAAATGCAACATGAGAAAATGCAACAGCCTCACTGAAGTACATTTATGTCATTTATGAATTTTCTTTTTCTTTTTTTTTAGAATATGGATTTTTTTTATTAGTTGTTCAAAACATTACATAGCTCTTGACATATCATATTTCATACATTTGATTCAAGTGGATTATGAACTCCCATTTTCCCCCCCATATACAGATTGCAGAATCACATTGGTTACACATCCACGTTTTTACATACTGCCATCTGTTGTATTCTGCTGCCCTTCCTATGCTCTACTATCCCCCCTCCCCTCCCCTCATTTACGAATTTTCATTACTATAAGTAGTTCTTCACTGAACATCCTTGGAATATAGTTTTGTGTGCTTGCTCAGATACATTGCTGGATAGTATTCTAGAAGTTGGCTGTTCAGTTGAAAGGTATATGCTTTTTATGTATTACACAGGCTGCCTAATTGTCTTCCAAAAGGCTGTGTCAATTTGTCCCTCACACCCTGCACTCATTTCCAACAGCCTCGTAAGTATGGGATAGTATCAGTCTTTTTGCACTGTTGCCAATCTGATAGGTAATGTAGTTAACTATACAGGGAAATTCAGGCGTGGGACAGGAGAGAAACAGGAGTGGGAGGGATGGGGAATGTCAGGAGGAGCACCTGGCAACATCGAAGGCCCAGGTGTTAGGGAGAAGATGAATCAGGGAGAGGCCCCTGTGCCCAAGGAACAAAGGGACAGCCAGGTAGGGAAGTTGGAGTGTGATCTTGACTGAAGAAAAGTAAAAACCAAAGCTGCAAAATCACTCCCCATGAGCTTGCCTGACACTGTGGCTCCAAGTAGCTGGCTTTATATCAGATCTCTTTACTGCTCATGCCAAGGGACAAAGCAGACACACAACAACTTCTGTCTGGTTCCAGTGGGTCAGATACCTTTTCAACACAGGAAATATGTTTAGGTATTTATATGTGTAAAAAGCTAAGCTGAAGTCGTAATATTTCTGGAAATCTTGAAATCTAAAGTAAAAGAAAAATCTAGAGAAAAATGTAATCTTTATTTTTCTAGCTTCTTTTATGAGTTTAAAGTTATATTGTTAACAATGTGGAATTTTATTTCCTAATAAAGTGATCATGTACAGTATTTAAATTTATAACATGGCTTATTCACACAATGTTAATACTTCCCAATTAAGCTTATTATTTTATTTGTTATTTTTTGTGGGGAGGGTGGTGGTGGTGGTACTGGGACTGACTCCAGAGGCTCTCTACCACTGACCCACATCCCCAGTCATTGATTATTATTATTTTTTTTTTTATTTTGATACAGGGTCTCACTAAGTTGCCAAGACTGGCCTTGAACTTGCCATCCTCCTGCCTCCGCCTCTGAAGTTGCTGGGAGTACAGGTGTGTGTGCCAATGTACCCTGCTGGGTATTTTATTTTATCTTATTTTTTGCAGTACTGGGAATCAAATCCAGGGACTCACCAAATGCTAGGTAAGTACTCTATCAATAAGCCACATTCCCAGCCTGAACTTATTTCTTAAATGTTTTAAATTTACAGTTAAAGATTGCTGATCTTAAATGCACACTCTAGTTTTCTCAACTATAAGAAAGGGGTTAAAAACTAGAAATAATTATCAATGTTCAAGAAAAATCAATGAAGTGGCTATAGGTCTACAGATTTAATGTCTGACCCCATGGGAGGGTTGAAGAAGCCAGGGAGGGACGAATTCTTTATTTAGAAAAACTGCTGCAGAAAAGAAAATTAAAAGAATTCATTTCCTCCCTAGAGTCGTTGAATATAACCTACTGTAAATTGGACACTTGCCTAATGAGATTCATTTGGAAATAAATTAAATTTGATCTGATTTCCAATAACTTGCTTTTGAAAACAGGCCCCAGGCTTAGTTCTGTCCATTCCATCCACCCACCCTTCCATTGCCAATAACTAATAATTATGCAGTGTTTACTATATGCCAGATACCATTCCAAGTGCTTTACATGCATTAACTCAAATAGTCTTCCAACAATGCTATGGGGGTGACTATTATCATCTCCATGTTAAAATGGAATCTGAGGTTTCCCAGTAAGTTAGGTAGAGAATTACCATATGTGTCAGTAATTCCACTTGTAGGTAACTGTCCCAAAGAATTGAAGACAGGTATTCGAATAAAAACGTGTACAAGAATGCTCACAGCAGTTCATTCATAATGGGCAAAAGGTGGAAACAATTCAATTTCCATCAACATGGATAAACAAAATGTGRCATACAAATCTATGTAATGCAATATTATCCACAAAGAGAAAGGAAATTCTGACAACATAGATAAACCTTGAAAATATGCTAGGTGAAAGAAGTCAGACACAAAGGACCACATAAGTATGACTCCATTTATGTAAAATATCCGGAATAGGTAAATTCATCGAGACAGGAAGCAGATTAGTGGCTGCCAGGGGCTGGGTGAGGAGGGTATGGGGTTTTTGTGTGGGGAGATAAAAAAATCTTTAGAATTAGATAGTGGTATAGTTACACAACATTGTAAATGTACCTAATGCCATTTAGTAGTATGGTTTAAACAGTTAAAATGGCATAATTTATGTGTGTGTATTGTACCATGATTAAGAAAAATTTAACTTGAGGTTAGGAAAATTTAAGTGATTTACCTAAGGGAACCTTACAGGTGACATGGGTAGGACTGTGTTTTAAACCCAGTTGTCAGGCTCCATGGCTCATCTTTTTATTCAAAAATATTTATTTATTTATTTACTTATTGGGAAAATAACACACAAGATTTATTACATGCCTAAGACATGGGAGATTAGATTCCATGCTTTTCAAAACAAGCACAAGAGAGTACAGTGAAAACTTAATTCGGGAGGTTTAGACCATTTTGATCATCTTTAGCTGCCTCCTATCGATACACAGGAAAGAGGAGGGAAACCAATTCTTGGACCAGAGAACCAAGGAAAAGAGCCACAGCCTGAGGACCAAAGGGTCCCCTTTAGTGACCTGATGTTCTTGTCCCTTTCAGATGGAGGGAGGACTCCAGACAATGGCTGCTGCTCATGATTTGGAGATGGAGAGTGTGAATTTGAATATGGAGAGAGAGAACAAAGAGCTGGAAGAAGAGAAAACTTGGGTGGATGGGGGAGGAAAAGACCCCCCCAAGGGTAGAAAGGTCCACAGGATCGTCTCCAAGTGGATGCTTCCGGAACCAGTCCGAAAAACTTACCTGGAGAGAGCTAACTGCCTCCCGCCCCCAGTGTTCATCATCTCCATCAGCCTGGCCGAGGTAAGCGCCGTGGGTGGTGGGCGCCCACGCACTCTCCAGTGGGGAGATGGGAACASAGCGGGATAAGACCTGGCCCTGGGGTGGAGGCCCCGACTGGTGCAGCATGCTCCCCAACCGGGCCCTTCTGTAGAGCTGCCTTTCCTGGCTTCTGGTGCTCTTCATCCCTCCAACCAAAGGGGCAGTTTAATTGGTCAAACAATTTTCTTGAGTTTCAGAGGAAAACAGCGGGATCCTCTAAARATGTCTCCTTTGGCAGCCTGGGGTGTGTGCTCAGTTTCTGATCTGGTCAGTCCTTTTGGGTTCTATAAGAGTGCTGGGCTCAGAAGGATGGGACAACTCACCTGAGGGCAGGTCTTAGWGACTGGGGCAGAACTAGGCTCTTCCTGAGAACTCCTCTCATCTTTGTGCTCTCACAAAGAAATCGGCAGAGCATAGCTGCATGTGGGGTGTGACTTCAGGAACATAATTCTCTTTCAGCTCAAATGATTATGATGACTTGGGAAGTTTAAAATCTTGAAGTCTAGCTGCTGGCGGGCTAGAGACCCAGGGAATAGCTGCAGTTTGAGTCCAGGGCTGTCTACTGAGTGAATTCCTTTTTTTTTTTTTTTTTTGGTGCTGGGATTGAACCCTGGGCCTTGTGCATGTGAGGCAAGCATCTACCCACTGAGCTATACCCCCAGCCCATGGACTCCCTTTTCCTAATGGAGGGCAGTCTTTTCTATTTAGGCCTTCAAATAACTGATTGGGTGAGGCTCACCCGCATTATGGAGGAAAATCTGCTTTACTCTACTGATTTAAATGTTAATCTCAGCTTTAGAAAAACTAGCTGGGTACTGTATTCACCTTGGAATGGTGACACATAAATTTAGCTATCATGGGAGCCAAGTTTCTTATGGCTTATAATGATAAAAATGAATGTGTAAGAATTCCCAGGAGAMCCTTTGTCAAGGTTTTGGTTGAAGGCAGGTAGCTCTCTGTTTTCTCATGGGGTTTTATTGTGAGACTTAACCTGTGACTGGGAAGTTATTAGGCTGTGGATGAGGATTCTATCTGCTTCTCCCTTCATGTTATCCTTTCATCTTACAGGTTTTCTGGTGTGATCATGTTCCCATCAGCTGTGTGTGTGGGTGGGAGGAGGGTTGGAGAAGAATGGGGTAAGGATGCATGGTACAAATATGACTGCTGGAGTGTGAGTGCTACCTAGAGTGTGCAGCTTCCTGCAGTAAGTCAGGGGGCAGGTGCTAGGATTTCTCACACTTACAGAAAGATCTGCTTTTAAAATTACTTTAAGTGAACTTTTTTGTTGTTGTTTGGTAGTGCTGGTGATGGAACCCACAGTCTTGTACTGCTGAGATATATGCCCAGGCCTTAAGTAAATGTTTTATTTTGTAATAATTTTAGCTTTATAGAAAAGGTGCAAAGGTAGAACAGTGAGTTCCCCTATACTCACCCAATTTCTCCCATTGTTAAATGTACTAACATTCCATAGAATGTTACATAGTACATTTATGAAAACTAAGAAGCTGATGTTTGCTGTAGTACAGGTTGAGTATCCCCTTTCTAAAATGCTGGGAATCAGAAATATTCTAGATTTTAGTTTTTCTGATTTTGGGATATTTGCATAGACTTTCCAGGTTGAGTAGATCTAATCTGAAAACCTAAAATACAAAATGCTAAGGTCCTATTTTATTTTTTGGTATTGGGGACTGAACCCTGAACCCAGCAGTACTTAACCATGAGCCACATCCCCATCTTTTTTTTATTTTGAGACAGGTCCTGCTAAATTGCTTAGGACCCTCTAATTTGCTGAGGTTGGCTTTGAATTTGCTATCCTCCTGCCTCAGTCTCCTGAGTTGCTGGGATCATAGGCGTGTACTACCACGCCTGGCTGATCCAAAACTTTACAAGTGTCATGTTGGTGCTCAAAAAGTTTCAGATTCTGGAACAATCAGATTCTCAGATCAGAGATGCTTAACCTAGGCTGGGGTTGCAGCTCAGTGATAGAGCAGTTTCTTAGCATGCACAGGATCCTGGGTTCCATCTCCAGTGAYGCAAAGAAAAAAGGTGTAGAGATGTCTAACCCATACTATTAATAAAACACCCGACTTTATTTGGATTTTACCACTTCTCCCATTAATGTCTTCTTTTTTGTGTTCCTAGTGCCCTCCAAACCAGGGAATCAAATTGCATTTAGTAGTCACATCTCCCCAGCCTTCTTGATCCCTGATGGTTTCTATTATTTTTCCACAAGCTTGGCAGTCTTGGGGTGTACTGGGGTACAATGTCCCCCACCCTGGGTTTGTTTGATATTTTTCTCATAATTAGACTAGAGTTATGAGTTTGCGGGGAGAATACCACAAAGGTGAAGTGCCCTTCTCTTYCCATTACATCAGGGAGTAGGGGATATCACATAATGTTACAGGGACATTACTTTTCACCATTTGGTGGAGGCAGTGTTTTCCAGATTTTGCCACTGTGGAGTTAACTACTTTTCCCTTTCCTTACTGCATTCCTGGAAGCCAGCACTGACTTACTTTTATATTAATTGTAAATGAAGGGTCAAATAGCGGGGGTGGGAATGTGAGGGCAGCAGGTATTTAAGGGGATGGAAGAGAACCTAGTACTAGATAGCAGGGGGTCAAAGGCAGGGAAAGGGGATTCTTGATAACAGCTGGTCTAGTGCAGCCCCTGACCATGGGAGGAAGGAGTTGACCACAGTGGGGGATGGTTGGGAAACAATTGTTCAAAAAATTGTTTTCTTAGTACCTGTTGGAATGTTACATAATTTTTTTTAGCATCATTGTCAGAATTCCTATCTTCATCCCAGTGTCGGTGAAGACAAGATGAAACCAAACTACAGTTTCTTCGATAGTTATCACAACAAACTGTATTAACTGATGCATCAATGAATAATAACTCAACAAGTAATGCTCAATCACTGAGTCGATTTATTTTAGGAGGAAATGGACATATTGATAGATTCCTCCACTTTGAACTGCTTACAAAACTTGCCTGGACTATGTATCACTTGTATGCATTGTGCTCTATCTGTTGATGCAGCGAATTATGGTAGTGCTGGCGTATCTTTGCTGATGTGTCACCAGTGTTGCAATTTTTCCTAAAGAGCAGTCAATTGACTTGGTGTCGTGGCATTTCTGTATCCTCCTCCCTTCTACTAGTGATGGTCTAATTTTGGGGGCCAACAGAGGTGAGGCAAAGAACCTCACCCCCCCCACCGGCACCAAGGCCAATTTTGGGGGCCAACAGAGGTGAGGCAAAGAACCTCACTCCCCCACTGGTGCATAGGACTATCCACAAGTATGGCTATATGCTGGACCGGTAGTCAGTGACGGGTATGATCCAATTGCAGTGGAATCAACCTAAGACAGGAGGCTGACGCCTAGAGGTCAGTTTTCCAATGACGGGTAAGAACCATATGTTGAATTGGACAAACCTAATAGGCAGGGTCCCTAGCCACATTGCTTGTTGCTTAATTAAACAGAAGGGGGTAGATGCTAAGAGCCACAGCCAAGTAATATGATGCATGGCATTTTTGGTTGAAAGGTGACAGGAGATGCCAGCTAGCCATTGAGATGATATGATTATGTTAAGATTTGCATTCATATGGATATTGGACTCCTGCTGTTCACCTTGGCCTGCTATAGGACTCCTGGAGAGTTCCCATTGGTTGGGGAAGTGCAGTAGGAGGGAATTCTGGGGGAGGAACTTCCTTTGGGAGAACCCGCCATGTGTGTATGTGTGTGTGTGTGTGTGGGGGGAGCAATCTTCCCAGGCGCTTACCGGGCATTGGTGGCAGTTTCAAAAATAAAGTTTGTTCCTGCTTGAGTGGCTTGTGATTTTGTGCCCAGCCAGACTGCGGCAAGTAATTGCTGTCATCTTCTGAGCCCACTCAGATCTGATGATTTAAACATAGTTACTGCCTGTAGGCTTAWTGGGGCACTCTCTGGCAATGGTGTGATTAACATTCATGTCTGCCCCTCCCTGTCAGCTGGCAGTGTTTATTTACTATGCTGTGTGGAAGCCTCAAAAACAGTGGATCACCTTGGACACAGGCATYCTGGAGAGTCCCTTAACCTACAGTCCTGAGAAGAGAGAGGAAGCCTGGAGGTTTATCTCCTACATGCTGGTCCATGCGGGGTAAGGAGTGACAGTTAAGTCATTGGTGTCAGAGGTGATTATAAGTAATGTAAGAAATTGTCACTTCTCACTGTGTGTGTGTTACTGGGAATTGAGCCCAGGGCCCCACACCTGCTAGGCTAGCACTTTAGCCCTGAGCTATACCCCCAGCCCTTTTTAGATTTTGGGACAGAGACTCATTAAATTGCTCAGGTTGGCCTTGAACCTGTGATCCTCCTGCTTTATCCTTCTGTGTAGCTGGAATTACAGGTGTGTGTCACCCTGCCCACTGTCACCCCTAACTTGTGTTTAGAGCTTTATTATCATAAATAAGGTACTTTCATGTCCATTTTCTTGTTTGAGCCTCACAGCAGCCTAGGAGGTGAGTATTTCTCCCATTCTTATGTCTGAGGATGTAATCACTTGCTGCACATCCCACAGCTGATTCAGAAAGAGACCTTGCCCCACAAGTGCTAACAATATAAACTACTTTACATTGCATTATAACTATTTAATGTTTGTTTTGATATAGGAATTTTAATGAGCAGATGCCAAATAATTATCAAATCAGACATAGGTCTCCCTAGTTGATGGATGTTGTTAAATGTTTTCTAATTTAGGTTATGTAATGGTAGAACCAAATGACCATCAGCATCCCCCCCCCAATAATCCTACACCACACTCTTTAAAAAAATTAATTCATTTTCATCAGTGTGAAATACTGTTTTGCATTTGATATGTTACAGGCAATAGGAGGTGCGGTGCTGCATTTTAGTTGTATCATTTCCTAAAAGCAGATAGTCTTTCATGTCCTCAGCATCCACCATCTCCCATACGCGCTGAAGTCCGTCAGCAGCCTGCTGCCAGACCCACCTCTTTGRTGGACTCCTATGGTGTCCAGTGAGGCCAATCCTGTCTATGTGGCCTACCCAGCTGTGGTGTAAAAGATGACTCTTTTGGTCAGTGGCTAAAACAACAACTATTACAGGACACAGAGGTTTGATGAGTCAGGTATAAAAATCCCCAGTTGCTGAGTTTCTGTCCATACTTCCATACTTTCAATTTCCATTTTACAAATCTTTTCTAAGCAAATGTGGCTTCTGCTCTCAAGGACATTAAAATGAATAAAAGAAGAATAAACCAATAGTAATGTTGGCAATATAGTACAGTAGCTACTTCTTTTTTTTAAATATTTATTTTTTGTAGTAGGACACARTAACTTTATTTATTTATTTTCATGTGGTGCTGAGGATCGAACCCAGGGCCTCGCTCGTGCTAGGCAAGCACTCTACCACTGAGCCACAACCCCAGCCCCAGTAGCTACTTCTTTAAAATGGGATTTTAGTACCACCTCTTAAGGTGGTTGTGATTAAATGAGACACTGCTACAATTTTCACAGTGTCTGATATATATATAGTAAGACACTCAGAAAGAATTTGCATGTCTGTGTAGGACATGTCACATATGGGGTTGTATAAGAGATGCTTTGGGATGTGAATTAACAAATAGAGACCTTTTTTTGGGTTGTGTGTGGGGGTTATATGATGCTGGGGATTAAACCCAGGGCCTTAAGCATGCTAACAAAGTGCTCTACCACTGACCTACAGCTCAGGTCAAGAGGCTAATTTTTTTCTAATATGAAAAGTACAAGGTAGGTGATCGGTTCATCAGCTTATTGAATCCAAGGCTCTAGGTTCTGTGTTGGTGTCTCTGCTATTCTTTTGGCCTTTTTTGCTTTCAGGTTGGCTGTTACAATTCTGCATTCAAAGCAAAAGAAGGGGAAGGGGGACACCAGGTACAGGCGAATCCAGCCCTTTAATCAAGACGGAGCTCTCTTAACAGTGCTCTTACTTGCTCACTGGTCAGAACTATGTGACTGGACCTGGCAACTCCTAGCTAATAGAGGTTGGGAAAGTCAGCATTAGATCTTGTAGCCTGACTGGAGGAGGCTGGGTAGGGAGAAGAGAAATGGATGTTGGAATCGTTATAGTGTAAGATAAACAGAGAGAGGGAAAGAGCAGGGTGGGGATGGCTTCTCAGATGACAGATTGAAATTGGATCTTGAAAGTAGGAAAAATTTGGGTGAAAAAAAATAGTAATTCCATTTAAGGTAGATGACACATTGTAATTTTAATGCCACTTTTAGTCTTACTGTTGAGCAGCAGAAAGTTTGTATGGGGTTTGGAGTTTTTATGATATTGGTCACCTTGTCCTCAAAGGGTTCTCAGAGGACAGGATGGCTTTGTTTGAACTTCTCATTTAAATTCAGGAGCAGATATTTCTAATCTCCTTTATGCTTGAGATATCCAGAACAATAGTATAACTGTCCTTGCTAGACTATTCTGTGCTGAATGACACATAACTCTTGTATGTCTTTTTTTTTTTTTTGTGTGTGTGTGTGTGTGTGTGTACACTGCAGTTTAACTCAGGGGCACTCAACCACTGAGCCACATCCCCAGCCCTATTTTGCATTTTATTTAGAGACAGGGTGTCACTGAGTTGCTTAGCACCTTGCCGTTGCCGAGGCTGGCTTTGAACTTGTGACCCTCCTGTCTCAGCCTCCTGAGCTTCTGGGATTACAGGTGTGAGCCACCATGCCTGGCTCTCGTATGTCTTTGAAGATGTCTTGGGCACTCATAGTTATAGCTGGGAGCACAGGCACCATAAAAGTAAATAATCCATTCTGCAGGATGTATCCAGAGAACCTCTTCAGTGACCTGTTGGATATCTGTAAAGTACATGATGAATCTCTAAAACTAACATGAGAACTGCTGCACTGTGGAAGAYTGATGCATCTATTTTGTTTTGGAACTTTTGGTACAATCTGAAATCTCCTTAAAAAAACAAACAAACAAACAAAAACACTGTGCTGCATAGCAACTAAATTAAGAGTTACTTTAATGTGGGAATTTTTCAAATTATGTTCAGATTCTCCAGAGATGCTTTGTGGGTTCAATAAGCAAGATAATAAAAACTTCGTTTAAAAATATTTTTACTGGGCTGAAGACGTAGCTCAGTGGTAGAGCACTTGCCTACCATGTGTAAGGCCTGGGTTCAATTCCCAGCATTGAAAAAAACCTCTGTGTGTGTGTGTGTGTGTGTGTGTGTGTGTGTTGTGTGTATAAATATATTCCCATATGTGTGTGTATACATATGTGTATACACATACACACACACACACACACATATATAATAGAAACATATTTAAAGACTATAATAAAAAAATACTCACATTCAAATATGTTATATGCCAAGTTGTAGTATGTGGGAATTACTTTAGCAAGTCTCAAAGGTACTTTTTAAATGTAGAAACAGCAGTGAAATTTCTCTTGCCTTTTCTGTTTTATTAAATATCCCGAGGTTGCAAGATAGACTGTTTAAAAATCTGTTGAAATTTAAATTCAGTGTGAGTGAGTCAGGATTTTTTTAAAAACTACAATGGAAACAAAATCAGATGTTGAGACTGCCATGATTGTGGTTGTCATCCAGACCCCTAATTTCAAGTTTATGTTCCTTAAGCCTGCCTCTCTGATGTTTCCTGTTATAATTGTTATAAAATGGACTTATAGAATACATTTATACTTTTAAAATGTTGTTGTATCTGTTTTACATATTGAAGTGCCTTGCAAGATTTCATTAAAAAAAAAAAAAGAAAGACTTGCCTGCTAAAAAAATTAGAAAACGGAATTCTAGCAAGTCTAAGTCCTTAACTAGAGACAACATCTCAGAGCCTACTAAAGAAATAACTGCTTTAATATTTGACAACTGTGTTTGTCTTTGCAGAGTTCAGCACATTGTGGGGAATCTTCTTATGCAGCTGGTTTTGGGAATTCCCTTGGAAATGGTCCACAAAGGCCTCCGAGTGGGGCTGGTATACCTGGCAGGAGTGATTGCAGGTCGGTGTTCTGAAAGTAGCAGAATCAACAATTCTGGGCTCTTAGGATTAAAAGCAAAAATAATAGATATTTATAGTGGATTTCCTTTTTCTTTTATGCCTTACTTTTCTTGTTTTGTAGTACTAGGGATTGAACCCAGGGCCCTGTTCATGTAGTTTTACCACTGAGCTACATTCCCAGCCTTTTTATAAATTTCATTTTGAGAAAGGGTCTGGAAGTTGCCCAGCTAGACTTAAACTTGTGATCCTCCTGCCTTAACCTCCTGAGAGGCTGGGAGCATAGATGTGTACCACCATGCATGGCTATAGTTTTTATTTAAGTCAAAGTTTATTGTGCTCCTAATATATGTTMGGGACACACTAAGCATTAGAGATAATTTAATTGGAGATGAGATATTAGAGATAATATGAACACATGAAAAAGAAGTCCTGGTGCCTTTATTCAGGAATCTCACATAGTTGGAAACTGCAAGCATTTTGGTGTATAGGATGCTTATATTGGGTAAAGGCCTAAAGCCAGGTCATGAAGACTCTTAAGTGTCAGGCTAATGATTTTTAGAAGTAATATGATTAGGTTTGCATTTTAGAAAGACAATGTTGGGCTAGGGATGTAGATCAGTGGTACAGTGTGTGCCTAGCATGTGCAAGATCATGGGTTTGATCCCCACACATCATCACACACACAAAGGGACACAAAGACTGAGGAGGAACTAGTAGAATATGGCAGTAATTTCTAAAATTGTGCCTAAGTTGATTAATTATGGTGTGAGAAGAATATATTAGAATTCCTGTCAGTTCATTTATATAAACATTTTAAGATATTAAAAATTTAATTTTAGATAATTGTAGACATACCAGCAGAGGTTAAGAAATATTGCCTAATGATCCCATGTACCCTTTAACGAAGGTTGCAAGATAGACTGTTTAAAAATCTGTCGAAATTTAATGGTAACATCTTGCAAAACCTTAGCACAGTATCATGACMAGGACACTCATATGGGTTTAATCAAGTTCCAAAACAATCCCAGCACCCCAATGATTCATCATCAAGCCTTTTATAGCTCTGGGTTCATCCCTGTCAGCCTACCACACTCCTATATCATGGGCAGTCACTAATGTGTTCTCCATTTCCATAATTTTGTCATTATTAAATGAAATAATCTAGTTTGGGATTGGCTTTCCTCTAGGATTGTATTCCTCTAGGTTGTTTCWTGTATCAATAATTCATTCCTTTATATTGCTGAATAGGACTCCATAGTATGGATGTACAACTACTTGTTGAATGATTCGCTCATTGAAGGGCATCTGGGTTGTTTAGAGTTTTGGGCTATTTGTGAATAATGCTGCTACAAACATTTATGTACATATTCTTATGAATCTTAARTTCAGGGTTTTGTGAACATAAGATTTCATTAGACTACAATAAATGTCAAAGAGCACACCTGCTGGATCATACATATGATGGTAGCATGTTTTATTTTTTAAACAAAAATTCCAGAAGGTTTTCCAGAATATCTATCCTTTTATATTCCTCCTAGTAAAGGACAAGTGATTCCATTTCTCCATATTCTCAATAGCATTAAAATTTGTTGTTATTGTTATTATTTTTTTTACTTTTTCTGAGAAGAGGGCAATGATATCTTATCGTGGTCCTAATTTACCTAATGGCTAATGATGCTCAACATCTTCTTATGTGTTTATTTGCCATCTGTCCATCACCTTCAGTTACATGTCTGTTAATATTTTTTGCCCATTTTCTAATTGAAATTTTTTAACTATTGAATTTATATATTCTGGATACTAGTTTTTCTTTAAAAATATAGTTTATAAGTTTTTTTTTTTTTAAAGAGAGAGTGAGAGAGGAGAGAGAGAGAGAGAATTTTTTTTTTAATATTTATTTTTTAGTTCTCGGSGGACACAACATCTTTGTTGGTATGTGGTGCTGAGGAGCGAACCCAGGCCGCATGCATGCTAGGCGAGCGMGCTACCGCTTGAGCCACATCCCCAGCCCCATGAATTTTTAAATTTTTGATGAAGTCAATCAAGGTTGTCCTCCCTCCCTCTGCCAGTACTAGGGATTGAATGCAGGGCCTCACACTTGCCGGGTAAGCACTCTACCCCTGAGCTACATCCCTGGCCCAATCAAGTTTTTTCCAGTTTTCTTTTTATGAATTAAGTTCTTGGGGTTCGCTCTTTACTGAGTCCTAGTTCTGAAGATTTTTTCCCTACATTTTCTTCTTAAAAGTTATAGTTTTTTGCCTTACATTTAAATATGTGATCAGTTGTGATTTGGTTAATTTTTCTATGATGTATAAGGTTCAGATTGAGGTTGTGTTTGTTTCTTTGACCTATGAATATCCAATTATGCCAGAACAATTTGTTAAAAGAACTGTTCTTCCTTTACTGAACTGCTTCTGCACTTTTGTCAAAAATCATTTGCCTGTAGTTGTATAGGGGCTACTSTGGCTTCTTTTTATTCCATTGATCTGTGTGTCTCTCAACTGATACTATATAGCATTGGTTACTGTAGCTATATAATAACTCTTGAATTCAATAAGAATGATTCCTATTTTAGTTTTCATTTAAAAAATATTTTTGCTGTTGTAGTTCCTTTATCTTTCCATATAATTTTTACAACAATCCTGTGTATAACTTTGAAAATTCTTTCTGGGATTTTGGTAGGAGCTCATTAAACCTGTACATTAATTTGGGGGAGAACCAAAATCTTTACTGTGTTGTCTTTCAATCCATGAGCACAGCATGTCTCTTATTTAGATCTCCTGGATGCTACTATATTTTTAATCAGTGTCTGTTCATTGCTGGCATAGAGCAATAAAACTATTTTTTTATATGCTTATCTTATATCTGTGACTTTCTTATTAGTTCTAGAGCTTAGTTTTTTTTTTTTTTTTTAGATTCCTTGGGATTTTCCATGTCGTCTGTGACTCATCATGAATAGTGACAGTTTTATTCTTTGCTTTTCAATCTGTATGGCTTTTTTTTTTTTAATATTTATTTTTTAGGTGTAGATAGACACAACACAATGCCTTTATTTTTATGTGGTGCTGAGGATCAAACCCAGGGCCTCACATGTGGTAGACAAGTGCTCTATCACTGAGCTCCAGCCCCAGCCCCAGCATGGCTTGTCTTTTTATGCCTTGTATGGTGGCCAGCACCTCCACCACTATGTTCAGTGTGGGGAGAACAGATATCCTTGTCTTGTTCTTGCTCATCTACAGAAAGCAATGAGTCTTTTACTACTAAGTAGAAAGTTAGCTGTTAGTTGTAGGCTTTCTGTAGATGCTCWTTACCAATGCATTTCTTTCTTTTTCTTACAAGTGTCTGGTTTGGTTGCCCAGGTGGCCTCAAACTCCTGGACTCTATCCCAGCCTCTTGAGTACTGGGATCACAGGCATGTGCAGGCATCTGGGTTACCAATACATTTATTTCCAAAAAATGAGCAAGAAATTGAGTATAGCTAGTATGTACTGCACAGGTTGAGATGGGCCCCACTGTCTTTATGTGTTGTAAGAGGACATGCAGTTTCCGGGGCGTAGGGTGGGAGTTCCACAGCACACAGTGACAGAAAGCTGTACCTGACTTGCTGTCCTTCATGTTGCAGGATTTATTGCAGTCTGTGTGGGCCTGGTTAAATAAGTAGGGTAATCTTCCTAAGGAGTAAAGGACATCCTGTGTAAGGAGTTGTCGAAAGGATCTTTTATTATTTCCCAGAGATTCATTGATTATTTAATGGTAAATTACTTAGATTAGTTTATATGTTTTTCTTTTACAAAAAAGATGGATGTCCAATTTGCTGACTTTTTCTGTGATAATAAAAGTGTTTTTTTTAAATTTTTATTTTTTAGTAGCATGCTACTTAACAGATGTTAGGAAAACAAATATGCAATATGTCCCTTTGAGGACATGATTATATTTTTTCCCTCAAAGGAGTGAGAAAATAACTGCTTTTCTAAAAATACTCATGCTATGCAAAAGGCATTTTGAAAGTTGGAAATTGTTTCGTTATTATGTGATTTTGCTGCTGAAAATGATGCAACATCTCATAAATTYACACTAAGAAGGCAGGGAAACAATTCTTTAATTGGTTTTAAAATTTCTCAGTGAAGAGTTTTGGTGAGCTTTAAATTTTAATGTAGCACTTTGATTATTTTGCAATAACAAATGACTGACATTGGGGAAAGTGAGAATTAGCCAAATTGCAACAAAATTTTTGCATAAATTGGAGTAAGCACAGTCAGTGATATAATTATATTTGAAACTACATATCATTTTTAATTTTAAATTTGGCCATGATAGTCATTTCTATAGAAAATAATTGAATTTAGAATTACATCTTTGTATTTCTGTGTCATGATATTTAACCAAGGATTTCAAACTATAATATGAAGCCTACTTAAGAAACACTACTCATTGAAAGATTTTTTTATACCATTAATGAAGTAAAAATAATTTGAAAATACTGTTTTTAAATTCTATTTTTATTTTAAAAACATATTAGTATAGTAGTACATATATACGTAACTTATAAATATGTAAAATACACCTATATTTCAAAAGGTAGTTGGGTTAGTTTCCTAGCTGCTATAACAAAGTACCATAAATTGGGTGGCTAAAAACAACAGGATTGAGCCAGGCACAGTGGCACACCCCTGTAATTCCATTGACTTGGGAGGCTGAGAAAGGAGGATCACAAGTTCAAGGCTGGCCTCAGCAACTTAATAAGACCTTGTCTCAAARCAAAAAAATGAAAAGGGGATGTAGTGGTAGAATGCCCCTGAGTTCAATCCCCGGTACCACAAAATAAGTAAATAAATAAGGCAATAAATAAATAAATGAAAACAAATAGATTAAAGAGAAAGAAAGAAAAAAAAAAAACACACCCAGGAATGTGTTGTTTCACAGCTCTGGAGGCTAGAAGTCTGAAATTAAGCCATCAGTAGCACTCTGCTCCCTCTGAWACCTGTAGGTGAATCCATCCTT